CGTCTATTCGGTTTTCCATCACAGGCCTGGTCAGAACAATTACGGTTAATCCAAGATTTCCTGTAATGGTAATTACAAAGCAACAGCTAATTAAATGGATTAATCCCCTGACAAGTTGATAGGTTAAGTACTTGGGTACCCTGATAAAATCAGTTTAAAAATGTATTTAAGAAGTTAAATGTAGAATAGCTCACGCAAAGGCAGAAGCATTCTACAAAATGAAAAATATTCTATGCAATCTTTCTGTGTCAATTGAGACGAGAAAGATAATTCTTAAATAAAAACCTAATAAATCTTATCTTGATATACAGAAGTGAATCATGGACAGTTGATAGACTAGTGGAAAATTATTTGGAAGCTGCAGAAATGTAGTTTTATAGACGAATGATGAGAATACCCTGAACAGATAAAAATAGTAATGAAAACTCCTGAAAGACACCAACTCAAGAAGAGAACAGATTGCCCAAATCAGAAACAATCTAAATTTTTTGGTTATGTCATGAGAAAGAGAAAATCTGAGTACCTTGTGACAGTAGGAAAGAGGGGAAGAGAGACAGACGGAGACCGAGAAAGAAGATATTATCCAGTATGACATGATGGCAATATTTTTCTTAAAGGGATGCAGAGGTGCTGAACCAGATCTGGTGGTACACCAAAAGCAGATCTCCTGTTGGTCAAGACCTATCGATACCTCTCTGCAGTCTTCCTAGAAACAGGTTCCTTAATGGGGGACTGGCCAGTGTAAATAGCATTAATGTTTCCTTTGAAGTCAGAGTGTAATGCCTGAGAGGCATGGAACCAACAGTTTGCACACAAATAAGCCAGATTAGTAAAACAGATGTGTATATAAGGGAAGTCAATAAGTAAGTCAAAATGGTTGCTTAAAAAAATAATTTTGACGTTAACAACTTGAAAACCGTTTATTTTTACACAAACACTGTCCCTTTATTTGTCAACATAATTTCCACCAACATTGATGCACCTGTCCCATCATTTTATCAGTCCTCCAAACCTGCTGCATAGAACTCTTTGCTCTGTTTTCTAAACAAAATGTTCACTTCACATTAAACTTCTGCATCATTCACAAAATGTCTCCCACCAAGGTGGGTTTTCAGTGGACCAAAAAAGTGGAAATGGCTAGCGGCTAAGGCGGGGCTGTAAGGTGGATGTTCCAGACGTTCCTCCCCAAGATGATTCATTCTCTCCTGAGTTAACCGAGCTATATGGATCTGTCATTGTCATGAAGGAGCAGTACTCCTCTAGTCAGCAGGCCTGGATGTTTTTATCCAACTGCATCATGAAGCATCAATAGAACTTTACAGTATGAATCAGCATTCACATTGTCACTTTTTTTTTAAACTAGTTAAAAGGCACTCTTTGACAATCCCAGAACACTGTCAGCATAATCTTCCATGCTGATGGAGTAAGCTTGATTTTTCAACACAAGAGAGAAGGATGTTTCCATCGCACTGAAGCACACTTTGATTTGAGCTGCTAGTGGTGCATCAATGATTCGTCCCTAGTAATAATCCTGTTCAGTATGTCTTCTCCTTCATCTGGGTATCGACAGAGATGCTGCAAGGACAGGCCTAATAGGTTCATTTTGTGTTCGTCCGTCAGTTGTCTGGGTACTCACCTTGAGCACACTTTCTTTCTTAAATTTCAGTCGATTATGCATTATGTTGTATGCTGAACCATGTAAGCACTTTATTGCAGCTGCTGCAGAGTAAACCATTACTTGCCTGTCATCTCTAATCATCTCCTTCACCCGCTGCACGGATGAGTCTGTTGCAATCTTAACAGGACGACCAGATCGGACTCCCATCAACAATTTTAAAGTGTCCTCAAAAAAAGTTTTTTTTTACCCAGCTACGCACCGCTTCACAGCATAAATATTTGTCAGCATAAACAGGAAGCATTTCCTTACAATGTCCTTTGCAGACAACTTTTTTTTTGCCCTACCCCCACACACAAAAAACGCATAACAGCAAGTTGTTCTTTGAGGGTACACTCCATGAGTATAGTCGCCATTTTGTTTCTGTGTTGCGAATGCACATGCAACACCTAACGCCACTCAACGAACGGAGACAAAGTTTGATGTTGCTGTCACCCACTGACACCTTTAGAAACCACCAACTACACTTTCATATCATCCCATAACCATTTGTAACTCACTTATCGACTTCCCTTTGTATAACACCCTAGAATAAGACCAAAGTCCATGAGCGAATGAAAAACCACAGTTTTTCTTAAAGATTACAAACATGGTTCGTTATTTTTGTGTGGAAATTAAATTTTAAAAATAGGTTAGGCAATTCTAACCCTCTGCAGCCTCAGTTTTGAAAAAAAAAAATTATTTTTAACTGTATAGCAATCTAAAATCCTTGCCTGCAAGTGATAAGAGCTCAAGAAGGTGGCAAGAATTAAACACACAAAAAAAGTAAAGATCCTTTTTCCCGCCATAGGCGCATCGGGCATATGTAAAGAGCGTCCCATATTTTTACAGACCGATCGACACTGGGTGGGTAATGTGGTCAGCATTACGCCAGCTGTCTTTACTTCCCCAGAACAGCCATCCTGGTACCCATTTTAGGCTGGGTCTACCTGCGACGCCCCATACCATGAAAAAAATCCATGCATAGGCAAGAATGGTAACACTTAATATACTATGCAGCATAAATGTCACAGGATGAGCAAAGAAAAGTGATTGAGAGACTGACTACCTCCTGTACTAAACAATAAAATCTTACTAACCAAGACCAAATCTTACAAAGGATTTAGTATAAGGTGGTTGAAGGCTATGGTGTGGTAATTAAAGGATTTTGGATTATTTCTTCTTCTTCTTCTGCATTCCTCTTTAAAGGAAAGTTGACACATTGTGTCGTGGTTTATAGCTAGGCTGTGATTTATGTACTTTTTAGCCCAACGCATTCGATTTCAGCATTCTCCTAATTAGTCAACTTTTAGGACACGCTTGTTTGGGAGGGGGTCTATTTTTTCTTTCTAGGTGGGGCCCTGCGACATATGATGATGAAACCAAAAAGAGAGCGCTCTATAAATGACGTGGTCCCTATCATCCCAGTCAACGTTACTTGCAGAAAACATTGCCAGCTTGCAATTCAGTGTTTATTTGCTTTGCGTCTTTTCTAGCATGGGTCACAAACAGGCCAGTGCATTTGAGATCTTTACAGGTGCCCCGGAGTTTGTCTTGCAAAATCGCTCCTGTCAGCTAGAATTCTTATGTGTGCCTGGCAAGGTCTCTGCAGTCCAGTAAGACATATGAGACCAATGTGACGTAGGTGTGCTCTCAATTTATAGTATGTCTAATAAGAGCTTCTATGTTAAGTCTATTTACACTGTCATTCACTGGTCTGTAATATTCTTAAGTCTGTCTTGTCTACAGTCTGTGTTTGCAGAATTCTGTAAGTGTCCCTGCTTTATTAAAGCTCTGACATAAGTGGAGCTGCATACCTAGGGCAATTAAAAAAATTTGTAGAATTACATGAGATGCTGACCACACATTCATATTCGTAATTAATTAAATATTTTCCTCCTCTTCAAAATATGTTTTATTAACTATTGAAACACTCTTATGAGCAAGATTTTACAGACACTTCTCTTTACCTTTCAGATACTGGATGTATGCAGTTAATAACAACACATGTAACTGGAAAAAAAAATTAAGGCACAGACATTTTAAATCAATAAATTCACAGATTTATTCAACTTCAAGAATTCCATAGCTGCTGCAAAATGTTGACTTTCATAAAAAAATGACTGGTTTATGTAGTTCTTCTCAACAGAAGCATGTCATAACATGTTTTAAACCTGTAAACATTACTATTTTTAAAAATTACTATTTATTAAACAACGGTAGTAATCCCATTTCTTATTATTATAGCCTGGAGAGAATAAGGCACCTGGGTGTAACCAGAGGGTCCGACCGGCTCACTACACTCAGAGGAAAGTCAAGATGGATAAATAACCAGATTGTGACTGGTACCATCAGTATTGGAACTCTGCACTGGCTGCTGAAGATGAGGATGGAGCATGCATTGGAATGCCGCCAGTGCTGTGATGTCAATTTTTGACTCAACTCCCATTTCTTCTTCAGCATACTAAACCCTTGAAGTTCACTGCTGCAGATAAAACCTGCCTGACTGGCCTTCTTTTTCCAAATGTTGGTCTGAAGAATTTGCAGGTCTGCCTGCATATTTCTCCACCATTCTCTTGATCTGCCTCAAAAGTCTACTCTCTTTCAAGTATGTAGATTTTGTGTCTGTTACTGTCATTCCCTCTATATGTCCCAACCATTACAGTCTCAAGATGCTAGTATTTAGTTTATAATCAGATTATAATTTTTTTTTCTGCTTTTCACTCCCCATTCTCTGCTCTCAGATTCACTGTAAGAATACTTAAGAAAGTTTTAACAAGGCTCTTTGTCCTCCAAGATTCACAGTCAAATAGGACAACTGGTCTAATTAATGTTTTATATACTGTAATCTTGGTGTTATTGAGAAAGAGCTATTGAGCAGATGGTGTAAGGTATAGTATAACTTATTTCAAACTGTATTCTAGATTGTTTTTCTTCTCTCAGTATACTGGAGCAGTTGAAGTCTGTACTCAAATACTTGTTTGTTTCCTTTCTTTTGATGTTCATATAATGTATTTTTCCTTTTATGTTCCAGGGTTGTCTGTTTAAATCTGTCTGCAGTGTTCTGCAATTCTTCAAGATATACTATGCTTTATGTTACAAAAACATCATGGAGAAGAAAAGATCTTTTACATTTAATTGCATGTTATAAAAACATCATAGAGAAAAAAAAAATAATCAGCATATCCTATCAGAAGTAACTGTTGTGAATTTTTTTTTTTAGAAACAATCGTCTGGCTTTATCTAACTAGGTTATGCTCTTCACTGATGTACATCCTGGAGAAGCAATCATCTTGAAGATACAAATGCTGCACATTCTGTCTGTTGAATTTTCCATGACTGTATATTACAAAAACATCCCAGAGAAGTAATCGTCAAACTCATCCTCCCTGAAATAATACAACAGATTATTTGGCTATTTAGCTTCACAAATAATTAATGCAAATCTTTTACGAATTCTTTAAATACTCACCAATATTTCAAAGCACCATGTCAAGAGAATTAAGCAGGCAAATAACCTTTTTTTTATGTCACCTAGGCTTATTACGACTAGACAGTTTCTTCACATTAACCCTTTCACCCTGGGAACACTAAAAAAATAGGTCATGACTCTGTTAGAATTCCAGAAAACAATTCATACAAAAATAATTTACACAGGTGACTAATAAAATGTATTTATCTACATTTAAGATTTTTTGTTGTTGAAATATACAGAGATATATGAAAGGAGTAATTACTAAAAATAATTAGGATAAAGATTTATTGGAATGCATCTCCAAGGTGTAAATAAAGCATGTGTACAGACTCATTTGACTTAAGTTGTGACCCTGTGACCTCAAACACTAAGAATTACAGAAACTCTGACATGAACTTGGCTCATGAACACATTCAGCTGAAAGGACAACCGACTTCCGTTTTCAAAATGGCGGACAGCAGCTGTGTTTATTTTTCGCTGGCTGTCAATTCTCTCGAATTATTCTGTTTCATAATCATGTACTGCTATTTTATGTGCATTTCCAACGTAGGATACTATGTGTTTTTCGTGGGAACAGCGTGTATTGTGGTTGTGCTGTGTCGGGGCGGGATAATGACTGATAGTTTTGGCAGCCTCAACCATGCTGCCTTCGCAATGTTTTGATCGCGGTGGTCCACTCGGGAAAACAGAATCTCGTCAGCAGGGAACTGCAACTGTCTAGAGAGCAAACTCGATAAAAGCTGTCCCCAGAAATGGAATGTGTCAACCATATATTTGGTGGGGAGGAATCGACACATACGGTTAACTCAATGGCCATGCCAAAGGACAACCGCCCTATATGCTATTGTTAGTTAAATGTTTTCATATTATGTCTTTCAAAATATATGAGCTAGTGCAAATTTAGCCAACTGCATTAACTATGCGTCTTGTAAACAGGTCACTATAGATAAGTTGGAAAAGTAACATTTACAGAGAACTGGACCGAATCTGAAGTGCTGGTTTTGCAACATCTTGAGGCGAAAGAGCTGAAACACGTTCCAATTTTTGAAGGGGTTGAATTAGGCTTGGAACCATGCTGGCATGTAAAAATCCCATCTCTTGATCATCAACATGTGCCCTACCCAGCAGCTTTGGTGCTCATGTCTCTCCATAGATCTCAGTCCTTTTGAATCTTCTTCTTTCACCAAATGTAAGCACCGGCAGAAAGTCCTGGTTGTTCATCCATTTCGACTCTCTCACAAACAAAAAGTTACTGGATAATTCTAAGAAGCTTCAGGGAGCTGTCTGAGATTTAAGGACAGTGAGAATGAGAACTGTTCACCTGTACCTTATTTACTCTAGTGTAGCTCAGTGGTTCCCAAATTAGCTCAGGGCTGTGGGCCTCTCCTGTTGTTGACAGTCTGCCACAGACCTCATACACTTTAACAGTAATGCCGAAAAGCTTTTTATAATTTATTCTCTATGTGGGTTTTAAGGCACCATTTTTGGGGAAACAATAATAGACAATGCTCCCCTATCAAGCATTCCATAAAAATCTAATAGTTCAGGGTGGGTTTTTTCAAAGTCAAAGTGCATCTGCCTTAAAGTGAGGAACCAATAGTCTGCACACAAGTAAGTTAGATTTGTGGGTGTGCATGCAAAACTCGAGTTCTGGAATAAGACCTGGGCTCAGAAGTGGATAAACAACCAGAACCTTCTGCTAGGGTTTATTTAATTTATAAATATTAGAATTGCAAAATGGATTGCAGTACAAAGTTGAAAGCTTTTTTCACAAACAACATCAAGGCCCCCTTAAATTTGTTCCACAGACCACTGGCATCCGCAGACACCACACTGAAAGACTGATCTAGATTATGTAAAAATCTAAGGCTTCAAACCCAGTCATTTAATTCAACAAATCAATAGGCAGAAAAAATAAGAGACAAATGATTAACAAAACGTTAATGTAAAATAAACAGTTAACAAAACAGGCACCTAAGTGTATAAACAATAAACAATGAATCAATCAGAAAGAACATAAATGACACAACTCAAAATTCTCACTTACCTTGACTTCTCTTCTGCTTCTTTTCCAGGCTTACTCCAAAGGTCAGCAGATTCAGGACTACCGTCCTTTTCTTTCTCTTTACTTGTACTATCTGCCTCTTTGGAAGAGCCTGGTCCCAACACGTCCTCTTCTAAGTTAGCAAAAAAAGATAAAGATAAATGATAAGTCTATGCTAAAAAAAATATACTAATCATTCATCTTCACTCTCCTCTAGTCAACTTCAAATTTTTTTCAGTTTTCTTCTACTTCTTCTGGTTTTTTTTTTTTCATTCACTGGCTGTAAACTTCATTGGATAGTTCTGGTTGTTCATCCACTTCTGGACTTAAGTCTTTTTCCAGAACTTCCAGTTTTGCATGCCCATCTGGGCTATCCTCTGAAAAACGGTCCCAAATTATTGAGGCCAAAAATATACCCTAACAGGGCCTCAGTCACATGCTAATTGCGGACTTCCGGCAACTGAAATTGCGGACTTCCGGCGACTACCACCACCGCCGAGAGTAACTCCCGCGCCGCTATGCGCGGCGCAGCGCCAAACTAAATGGCTGGGACTCACGAGCAGCAGCCACTGGTCTGAAGGTCTTGAGCTTGAATCCACACCCAGCTGATTTTTATAACCGACCATGGTTTTCAGGTCAACCCAGCCCAAAGCAGGTAATAGGAAATGTCCCAGGTAGTAAAGGTAGCAGGCATCATGTTGACCAAATCACCGTTTGGTCTATACAAATTTATGGCTCTAGCACTATATGCCCGATATGCTAATGGTCGTTCACTTTTTGCCTCGAGGGGTCTTCAAATGTGTGATAGAAATTGCAATAACCATACTACTGTCTTGTAACTTGTCAATATTGCTTTTAAGGATGTAGAGAATGTTAAGCATGTGACATCAAGGTGCAGAAGAACATGGTGATGTAATAATGACAGTTTAAAGATAGTCATCCCACTAGTGACATGCGCCAAAGAGGACCAACAGTCTGTTAGATGTTTATTGGTCAGTGAAGGGAAGAAACCTATAGAAAATCATCTGCAAATCTCCAGTAACAATTCGTGACAGTGAACTATCATCTTCACAATATCATCACAGATCATATACAGGAAGGTATGCTTCAGGTATTCCCTGGCCTCTGACATTACCTTGAAGGATGGCTCCTGTGAGCCATATTTTCTATCTCTGTCTGATAAAAACTATGATGTCTTGTAAGATGTGATCAGAGATATGGTTAGTGTCCCACATTTAAGTGGTCAACTAAAGACTTATGCTTAGATTGTCTTCTAGTCATTTCTTTCCCTTAGGTCTTCTGTCTTTCTTGTGCCTGGTGTGTTGCTCTGTTAAGGTCATTTGTCACTACACAATATTTCTAATATTACGAATCTGGATTTGTAGCTTCCACATGAATTCAACAAGGTTTTTTAAAATACTGCTGTAATGGTGTGAAATCTATCCTAGCCCCTGCTTTTCTTTCCTGCTCTATATCATTTCTCCAGCTTCATCCCTCTCTTCTTTCATCTCTGTCTCTCTCACTTCTCACCCTATTCCATTTTTTGCATGTGGACCTGCATATACGTACACACAACAGCAAAAACCTCATGGGTGACACCAACTAATCCAATTATTGTCAGTTTCAATGCAGCTCTTCAGTTAACTAACAAAAATTTACATGTACAATCTCAGGACAAACAAACACTACCTGTTCTCTTCTTTCTTTTGGCTCCACTTGTATGTGAGGTATCAGACTTTACAGTTTTTGGAAGCACTTCCTTCCTCCTGGCAAATTAAATACATGTTTTATAAGCTTACTTTCAAATATGAGTCTTAAGGACTGTAAATCAAACACTGTGTGATAATTACATATTCTGTCTTTACTATTAGATTAAACTATATTTCATACAAATATTTTATACAAATGGAAAAACAGTTGCAAATAACTATTTCAAAATCTGGGAGAAAAAGAATAGACCCACTGCAGTTTGATTAATTAAGGGTGTTTCCTTCGAAGTCGGTGTGTACCTGCATGAGGCAAGGAACCAACAGTCTGCAGACAAATAAGCCAGATGTGCACACAAAACTCACACCCCAACAGATTATCTGCGCGGTCACCTGGACATAGATTGCATGAATGTACCCTGGATCTGTCCCTGTTTTGTAGACTGTGTGTGAGTGGCAGGACTGACTGACTGACATTCACTCATCACAGTTCATCATCAATGTGTTTGTCTATAGCAAAGGAGACTGACTATGCTGTCAGATGATACCTGAATTTTGTATATTATAGTGTTCTTGGGCAGTGATGGTGATTATAATGCAGCTTGTTGCTTGTGCCTGGCTTGTTGTGGCACTCCGGCTGTTACTGATCTCTGCTCTCTTTTGAGAACCCAGCAGTCGTTTCAAGCTGGGGAAGCTCTCTGTGTGTGTGGAGTACTGACACTGTAAACTATACCCTAGATGTTTGGCAAGTGTGCCTGCCAGACTGGCCAAATGAAAATGTGTGGTAAGCCTGTGGTTTATGTATGTGTCAATAAAAAATATCACAACAGCCTGCCATGAGCACATCTCCAATACCCTGCAGGCCAATAACTTAATATTTGCTATTCAGAACTGGAAAATGTGGAAGTCTGGAATGAAAAGTGGGGTCTAAAACTAAATCATTTTAAAGCACCATACCACTATTATCTCTGTCACCACATTCCCCTTTAAAACTTATCAGGACTTTTAAAAACAAGCTAAGCCCAAAGACAGACACCCCAACCTTTCTCAGTGTTACATTTGATTCAAGACTAACATAGAAGTCACATGTTGAAACAATACTGATAAAAGCCATAAAACAAACTTGTTATGATCACAAAAATGATTGGTACCATATGAGGTACCAACTCCAGAATTCTGAAATAAGTGCATACTGAAGGAGTCAGGCCAGTCATGGAATAAGTTTCCACTTCTTGGGCTAAAGCAGCTAAGACACCCATGGGAAAATGGATAGGTTCAGAAAATAGTACTGTGAATTGTTCTCAGAGTCATAACAACCACTCCCATCAAAGGGCAGAGAGGATACCAATCTGAACCACTCAAACTAAGAAAACCATGCAAAATTCTTCTACATTACAAGAAATTAAAAGACTACAAAGTCACCAGCTGCATTTTAAATTTCAAGTGAGAAACAAATCAGACTTAAGCGTCAAAGCCCTAAACATTTGCTAGAGAACTATACAGACAGCACAAAGATTTGCTGGATCTTCTGTTGCACTGTGTGAAAAGCTTAGGCCAAAACCATGGACATGCAATCCAGACAAGGCAACTTCAATCCTAGAGGTGCCAGGCATCACTACAAAAGATGCACAGACAGAGATACGGCATAGAATTCTGGCACCTACTATGCTGAAAGAGAAGTACCCCAGCACCACTTGGATTCAGGTTTTCATTGACTGTTGTGCTGCTTATGCAGTCAAAAATATAGGTTGCAAAATATACATCAAACACCCCAGCATCAGAGTAGAAAAACACTCTCTCTCAGCAGGTTACATCTGCACAAAAGAAAAGGCAAACTGCCCTACCTTCTGCGGTCCAACACCTTATCATTCAAGAATGCAACAACAACAAAAAGTAAAAGACCCTTTTCAACGCCTTTAGACATATAGGGCTAGACCTATATTTTATTGACCAATTGGCACAAGATGTGTGATGTTCAGCATCATGCCAGCCACCTTTACTTCCCAGGACTGCACCTGGTACCCACTCAAGGCTGGGTTGACCTGTGAGCCAAGGTCATTTTTTTTTAAATCCAGCTCCTCCAGGGAGCGAATCCACGACTTTCCGATCCACAGGCGAGTGTCTAGCCGCTCCGCCATGGCGACTCCCACTCAAGAATACAGAGGGCAGACAACTATTATACTTAGTGACTCACTGACTATTCTCCAAGCATTATGAAGCAGGAAACAAGATAAACTAAATGCAGATCTGAGGACCAACATCTGCTTGCTTTTCAAGGCAGCAGAACTGGTTCTGTAGTGGATACCAGCTCAGTGTGGTGTTTATTATTCCAGGAAGTGAGAGAGAGATGACCTGGCAAAAGCCTGGAGTAATGTTCCCCAACCTCATCCACCAGAGCTACAAAGAAACCACAACAGACACTGTGGAGAGGGCAGAATGGAGACTACAGACCAGAAAGTAAAAGCATAAACAGACTTAAATAGGAAACAGTAAATAACACATTTCTGGGTTTGGACAGGACACTGTGATCTTACAGCACACATGTACAGGATAGGCATAAAATAATCTGCCAAATGTAAATGCAGAGCAGACAAATAGACTGCTGAGCTTGTACTACAGGATTGCTCTAACTACTCCCGGCAAAGGTTGGGGATCTGGCCCAATGGATCTACATTACAAGAGAAGCTGTGAGGGAACTAGTGGCAACCTGAGTTGAGTCAAGAATTGACATCACAGCTCTCTGGGCATTCCCATACGCACTCCGTCCCCATCCTCAGCAGCCAGCGCAGAGTCCCAATACTAATGGTGCGTCGCAGTCTGGTTGTATGTCCGCCTTACCTTTCCTCTGAGTGGAGTGTGCTGGTCGAACCCTCTGGTCACTCCCAGGTGCATCATTCTCTCCAGCCCATAATAATCTAGTTTCTCTTCTGACTTCATTACTTATTCCCAAACGGCTCTGACCACATTTGCCTTGTCATGTATCAGTTCACCAACTAGTGGTGCAGATTCAGCCAATCTTATCTGCATCTTCATTACTTACCACGCTGACATAGTCTGGAGAAAAGTTATACAGTATGCTCACTACCAGTGACCTTGCAAGTGAAGCTTGCCATTCCGCTCAAAGCAATCCTGACTTCATCTTTTTCAGAATGCTTTCAGAGTCCATTACAATTATGACATGTGTATGTATCTTGTTCTCTAGCCACTGGCAAGCTGCAGTGACCACCTCCACTCTCATGCTAGATGTTGATGTATCATATGCTAGCGGCAACCTTAGATGCACCACCCTGCTTGTGGCCTAGATGGGACTAAATTTTTAGAACGGCTGGTGTCAAACCCAGAAGAAGCTACAAAATATGTTTTTATCTACTGGGTGAGTTAATCCAAAGAAAACAATAAAATAAATAAATGAATGAAACTCCATGTTTCACAGGTCTTCAGTTTTCTTTTCTTCTTCTTAGCTGATCAACAGCTGTCATGTTTAGGACTGAGCACAAGGTCTTTACATCCATCTTCTGCAACTTGATTTGTGAATCAGAATTATATTCTCTCAATCTCTCTCTGTCCCTCCTTCTTCCTACTCTTTTTGTAATTAGCTATATCAGCAGTTATCAAAAAAGATGATTCTCAACTCTGTATTTGAGGTACCAAAATGGTCATTCTAAGGAGGAGGGGGGGGGGGGGGGGGGGTTTGAGGCATGGTGTCTGCCTCGAGGGCTGGAGGTTCCGGGTTCAATCCCTGGTAAGGGCTGGGATTTTTTCACATGGACTTGGACTTTTAGTAGTAATTCCTCCTGGTCTCTGTATAGTGAGATTGGACGCCCAGGTGCACTGTTGCGCAAGTTAAAAAAATCCCTTGGCAGTTGGACATCAAAAAGAGTAGCCTAACAGCACTGCCCAGACAAAATTTAGAGTTAAAAATCTACCCAAAGTTTATCAGGATCCTCGCCGGTGCAACAGAGTCTGTGCACTGTGCTGAGCTTCTCCGGACTTAGAATTGAGTTAAAAGAAGAATGGAGCACTTATGGATTACTACCCGTGTGCTATGATGTTGGTCTGTTGTTCAAACTTCAATGATCATTCTGGTCATGTGGTTTTGAATTTACTGTAGACCTAATATCAAGAAATCATCATTATCATCAAATGCCTTGCCAATAATCTGTGATCGTTAACAGTATGTATTAGTTCATGTGCTGACGCTCCTCCATGCCAGCACAAAAGGCTGTCAAGAATCTTCTCAGGCTGTCTTTCTCTGTCTCTCTTTTTCACAGATCTTTCCAGTGATCACAGCAAATTCCAGTTTTCATCTTCTCATAACATGACCAAAAAATGATGGCTGTCTTTTTTTTTACAAGTATGTTTGTGATCGGTTATCTTTCAGCCCTTGCCTCTTTCAAAACATCTGGGTTGCTCTTCTTTTTGGCTGACGAATTCTTCTGTAAGATATCATTTCAGAAGGCCTCGAGCAACTGTTTTGTTTGTTTATTAACTGTCTAGGATTACAACCATATGTTAAAACTGGCTCTATATAGTCTGCAATAATTCTTTTTTCTAACCTCCAATGACATGGACTGATTGCAAAGAATGTTCTTCATTTTATAAAATGCAGTTTTAGCCTATCCTATTCTGTTTTTTATCAAGCATTAGGCGCTTGTAAGTTATAGGATCACTAAGTGTTAGGCCTGGGGAAAGAAAACTAGTTAGTAGCAGAAGAAAGTTTCATAAACCACTAAATACATACTTCTGGTGATAATTCAACTTATAAGAACAATCAGGGCAAAGACGTAATTTAACCAGCGCATTTTTTTTCTCCCCATGCTCCAGGTACCCAAAGTTGACTTCCCAGCTTCTCAGGCCATGTGTCTCCTCACACTTTTTGTTGCCGCAGATGAACTGACCTTATAATTAAAAAAACAGGTAAAAGGTAATATCTTTAGTATAAGGAAAACAGCAAAATCTTCATAAAGATACTAAACAAGACAAGCTTTGACACAGTTTTACCAAGAAACATAATCTTTTTCTTCTTTTTCACGCTCACCAGCTGTAAACTCCAGCAGAAAGTTCTCGTTGCTCATCCACTTCTGGACTCTAGTCCTGTTTCAGAAACTGTGTATTGCGTGCACCACTGTTTCACAGGTCTGACTCGTCTGCATGCAGACTGTTAGTTAAATGCCTTTTAGGCAGATGTACTCTGACTTTGAAGGAAGCTCCCAATTAGTCGATTCTTGCGACATGATTTTGGGCAGGAAGTGGGTCAATTCTTGTCTTACCCACAATGGTGCCCCCGAACCCATACAGGAAAGAAACTTAATACATGTAATCCTCATTTATAGAAAATTTATGTTACAACATGCTCAATGAAAAAAAGAAAGATCCTGAAATAATAATAATAATGAAAAAAAAAGAGTAAAAAAAACTTATCTGATCAAACCTAATATTCTCATGACCAAAAACAAAATAAATCTGGTCAAAGTAATCTACAAAATGATGCACTTTAAAAGTGAATACTTTATTTCAAATGCAAAATTCCTGCTTAAGACAAAACAATATATATATATATACACTCACAAACATACATACATATATATGTGTGTGTGTATATAATTCACAGGCATATAATAGTGCATCAAATAATGTTACTATATGAAATATCATACCTTTGCCATCGACCACTTCTTTTTCTATTCTCCATCGCATTCCAATCTGGAAGGACAAAACATAATCAGCTCCAGCAGCCACAACAATTTTACTGGTAGTGGGGGAGATTTATTGCTGGAAAACCATTTTTAGTCATTCTGACAACTGATGTTATAATTCACACTGAGCCTTCAACAGTCACATAGTGGCTGGGTCATGGCATGCGGAGCCACAGTATACATTTTTAGGCCCAGGATAATGTTTTTTATTTAATTTTCCACTGCATTCATATTTGTTGATTACTCTCTTTCATATATTTTTTTTTGGTCATTATTTTTTTTTTAAATTAATGACATGTGCATGTGTAAAATGTTTTTTAAAGGATTAGGAAAAAAGGGAGAGGGGGAGGGGGTTACAGGTTTATGGCTTTTTCCCCCTCCCCAAAGGTTTCCAGGTGAAAGATTTAAGATTCAGCTTCAGTACATATCTACTAGAGCTTCATGAATCTAAAGCTTTTTTTTTTACCATGCCCAAGCATGTTTCAGAATGATTTCAATAGTCAGCAGTGTATGTCAGCTATATATTTTTGAAAAGATAGATTTGTACTGTCAAAATTCACATAATTGTTCCCTGCTTGATGGTGTGTTTTTTTTAAACAACTATTCAACATCATCTTTATAAACCACTTCTACCATTAAGCATTACGGGGAGGAATAAATTGTGATCCAGTGCACGTTGGCTGCCACTGGCTATTGTCCATATTTTCCGCGGCCATCCTCTTGCTCTTGTAGCTGATCTTCTGAGATGTAGTGCCTGTGATGGTATCTGATATTGCTACATTCTAACGAGATGGTCAAACCATCTAGTGCAAGGTGTCGTTTCCACAATTTGCCTGATAGTTTCATTATTCACTCGATCTCGGATGGTTAGATTGGCTGTTTTTCCTCAGGTACCTCATCTTGCGGGTGGTAATTTTGTGTATATGAGCTTTAGATAGTGTCCATGTTTGGCACTGGTAGCTTAACTCTTTAAGGTCCAAACAAAGGTGTGAGCGTTATTTGAGAAGTTCCGTTTTGCCCAAACAATGGTGTCATTGTCGATCGTGTGTCCCTTACATTTTGCTTTGCTAATGCCTTTGTACTAGTTTCTAATGTTTGGAGGTACGATTAAACTATTCAGGGAAAGTCACTCTGTCGAAATCTTTTTAGTTTCATTTCCTGGACTAAACCACACGTGGATAATTTGAGAGAAAAAAACAGCGAAATTTTTTTCAATTTCATTTTCTAAGTTTGTTTTTGAGTGCCATGAATACTAACGTTTCTACCACAAGTACAAGTCGCAGAATGGGTCTTTCTGCGGCCGAAGCACTGAAATTGATTCAGTCAGATGTTTTTAATTGTGATAATGATAATAACAATTTAGATTTTTTGGAAAGGGATTCGGACAGTGAATTTTCACCAGTGAAGCTGAGCGATCAGCTGTTCGGAATCTAGCGATCATGATGAGTTTATTACACAGACAATGACCCATACTACCGTATTTATGGTGTAAAAGAAGGAAAGTGCTCTAAACAAAGAGTCAGTAATATACTATGGCTAAGCTACATTGAAATCATCGCAGCTACAGTCTGTAAATAACTGTACAAAGTGAATAGTAAATAGTGTGTGTGTAATGGCTCGTTTTTCTGCAATTTTTTTCTCTGAAATTGTCCTTAGCACTTGGTGAGAACTAAGAGCTCCTGAGTGCTAAACTAACCCAGAAAGTTATCATAACTTTGGAATATGTTAGGAAATTGAACAAATTTTGACGTTTTTTTTCCCTCAAATTTGGATATTTACTACTCTTGTGGCTGCAAAACCATGGTAAGTGAAGAATTTTTTTGTGAAATGTTGTCCTTCTGAAATAAACACCTGCTGAATTCTTCTTTCCCACTAACTATAACACAATTTAACAAACACTTATCATCAGATTCTATTTTTTTTAAATATATACTTCTATAGGGATTAGAAGTATATTACAATCTCTATAGCCTTTCTTGTACACCCACCCCTCTGCTATTTTTGTAAAGGGAAATTAATGTGGACCAAGCCTGTCAAAATTCATGGGCCTGAAAGAGTTAATGTTGGAATGAATATGCTTATTGCACTCATAGTTATGTTTGGATGTCTTAATAATGGTGACAGCTGGTATGTAAGTGCACTTGCTTTCTGACATCTGGTTTCTATTTCTCTGTCAATTCTACCATCTTCTGTGATCATACTTCCTAGATATTTAAACTCCCTAACTTGATTCAGAGCAGAACCATTCAACTGTATGTATAGTGGCTTTGGTTTTGTTTGCAAACTATTAATATTATTTATAACTATTAATATATCTAGATTAACTGTACATAGTACAATTACAAATAATTGAAAAATGCTATTAAATCTTCAAAAATAATTGAAGGAATAGACTTTGTAGTTTTTTTTTTTTTTTTTATTTATTCATGAGATAGACAGGCTAACAGACAGAAGAGAGAAAAAAAAGTACCTTATTTTCCTTGTAGCGACTAAGGTCTGCTATACAGTACTCCTTGAAAAGCTTATCATAATATTTCTTGGCTAGTCTTTTCTCCCTGGGAAATACAAACAATGTTCAGTCATACAGTTTATAAAAGAGAGGATAAATGGTGTAGCTGAAACCTACAAAAAAGATGAACAAATCCATCACTCAAGCCGCACGAGAAGTGCAAGAAAAATACAAAAAACCATTAGAAAAAAATGAACCCTTCTTGAAAAATAAAAGAAAATGACTAATCATTCCCAAATCCTCATGCCCTTTCTTATTTTCTTTTTCCTGTCAGTAATCTCCCAATGAAGCATTGAACCTCAACCAACCGCTGCCAAGTCTTCTGTACTCTTGTTGGATTTCTGTTTTCAAACTGGGGATGAGCGGTTGTGTTAATGTTTAGTGGCCATGATTTTACTTTGGGATCATTGTATTTTCTTGTTATCATGGACCACTATTTTGTGCTTATCCCCAACGAAGGATATATTGTGTTTTTCCCACTCATACATTCATGAACACAAACACACGCTGACTCACATGCACATACAACTATATGGGACCCCAAACAAGATTTGCGAGTGGACGTGAGCAAATAGTTCCATTATTTTGTCACAACAGACACTGAAATAGAAAAATAATCTCAATGCAAAAGTCAAAAGTATGTGGGAGAAGCCAGAATTCTCTAATGTACTCTGGGCAAATGTAAAGTATCACTGAACATATTTCAATGCCTGGGACTCCCAGGAAGGAGACCATTCTGCATAATACAATGTTCAGGGTTGAAAAAGTTAACAAAAATGCCATGAATGGATATGCAGTAAAGATATGAGAGAGGCACGGTTATCCATGCCAAACTGCAAAATATCTGGTGTAAAAGGGGCAAAACAAATTACCATGTTTCATCTGCTCCCTCGTTTTCATCCCAGAGAAACTGATGGTGCTCTCTGATAACATCAATGTCCCTCTTATCTTTTGATCTGCAGACAAATTAAAGTGTTAACTCATTACATAGAAGATTCTTACATCTTTCCTCAAAAAGGAGGAAGATCAGGAGGCTGCAGAAGAAGTAGCAGCAGCAGCAGAAAGAAAAAATATAGAGGAACGAAGTAGAAGAATAGGAGCAGGAGGAGAAAGAGAAGAAGAAGAAGAAGACAAAGAAGAAGAAATGGAGGAGGAGGGGAGGAGCAGCAGCAACAGTAGTAGTAGAAGAAGAAGAAGAAGATGAAGAAGAAGGAAGAAGAAGAGGGACAAGGAGAAAGAGATGGGGAGGATGAGGATGACGAGAAGAAGTAGAAGAAGAAGTAAATGTGACTAAGGAATGCAACAAAAGAAACATATCAATGAAAGCAATGTATGATGACTTGCTTATCGCTAAAAGAGTCAATTAATGTAGCTTAAATGGCTGTCACAGACTGAAAAGAGGAAGGTCTTGGATGGCCCAAACTGAAGACACAATCAGACGTGTGCAGGCTTGATATATTTGTGCGAGGTGAGGAGTAGGTCAGTGTCCGAGCATGTTTCAGACTTGTATAGGGTTCTTTTCACTTTGAGTCGTGAGTGCAGGGACTGGCCAGCTGGGGCTGCAGAATCAGAAGTTCAAAAAAATGACTCATGACAATTCCAGTCCAAATGATGTGATTATCTATACAGATGGCTCTGTGTTGAGGGGCAGAAGAAGTGCTTGGGGTTCATAGCAAAAGCGAATGGACGTCGCTTAGTGCAACAAAATGATATCACAACGTCTAATTTGAGAATGGAGGTGGAGGCAGTCACTACTGCATTTTACTGGCTTGAGAATCAGCTGTACACGCATGCCGTAATTGTAACTGACTCACAGTATGTTGAGAAAGGTGGAGACAGGCATGCTCCATGCAGAATGGCAAGCATCACTTCAGAGGTCTTGGGTAGTAAGCATCTTTTGGATATTCTCTCCAGGTCATGCCGGTGTGTTGGGAAATGAGCAGACAGATAGACTGGCCAATTCTGCACCACTTGGTGGTGAACTGATGTATGACAAGCTAGATGTTGTGAGGGGCCTCTGGTAGTGAGTAAACAGTGTGAAAGCACAAATAGATCATTACGGTCTAAGGAGAATGGCGCTGCGAGGAGCTGCCAGGGGATCTGGCCAATGCTCAACACTCAAGGGAAAGGCAAGAAGGATATACAATCCAAAAAATTTCAAAAATATCGTGAAGAAAAAACATTTCAAAATCTTTATTGTCTCTATTGTGGTATTTGTTCTACTATAAACTCAAGACAAACAGCTTCTTTTGATCATTTCAGAACAAGAAAAAGTTATGAATTTCTGATAAAGTTCTACTTGTACTGTTGAGGAATGTGAGCAGTTTGTCTAGTGGAAGCAGGATGGAGGAAGGTGGGTCCCATATTAGGGTGTAAACCACTTACAGCATGCAAACCAAGGACTAAAATACCTGACAGCCAGTGAAGAGTTCTTCTACAAAATGGAGAAAACTAAAACTAAAGTATAAGTTGCAAAAGGTGTAAATCATCACACTACAAGACAGTTGGAGATGGATATGTCTGTCACACTCACTGAGACAGCAATGGCCATGACAAGATTTATCCATCACACATACATTAGTTGGGTATCCTTTACTGAACGTTGGAAACCAACCCCATCCCTCATTGGCTGTTTGTGTTTTAACTAGGTAATTTTACATCCAGTAGTTTGCTGTTGTTTCCCAAACAGTCAGTGTCTCATTCCACTGTTGAATTCAATGCAAAACACGTCTGCTGCCAAATCACCTGTTGTTGATTCAAACTAGAATTTAGAATTTCAAGCAAATTTAAGCCACTGTTGTACCCATATATATCACATAGGGCTTGCATTCTGTTCTATAGTTTGCAATCCCTTCGATATCTGAGACCAAATCCAGTGCAGTGCCTTTTTGGCTTCTCTCATCAACACTTGTTTAAGAATTTCTCTTGGATGTCCTGGCTTCCATAATCCCTTTATTTCCCATTTCAGTGTCTGGTGATTCTATGCTCATTTCTTCTCGGGATGTTTCCAATACAGTGCCATTGTCTTGGTCTTATAACTGTTGCAAATAATGGTTGCCCAGACATTTCTCTTACTTCTTCCCCCCTCTTATTCACCCCATTTTAGATTCACAATTTTTCTTAGGCATTTGTTTTCTAATGCATTTAACTTTTTGTTCCATGTATTTAGTGGTTATATAACTTTCACTGACATATGTTAAAAGTGAAGACAAACAGAACTGAAAATATGTAACTTCGTTTAAGGGGCCCATAATTTGTACAGGCTTTTAAAAGCTGTTGATGCCTTGCAAATGTGTATCAGAACTTATTTCTCTGTGTTTCCTTGACTATCTAAAATACTATCTGAATAGGTAAATTGATCTGTTACGTTATTTCTTTTTATCTCTAATGTTGATCTGTGGTGTCATCAATATTTTTTCATAACTTATTTGTAGTTCAACTTTTGAAGTTATATTTGCTGCAGCCAATTGAGGGGTTTATTAAAGATGTGATGATTCAACACAGCACATACAGAGTGGCAGGATAAAGCCTAAGTTGGTAACTGTCCCTCATGAATTTTTAGTGTTTCACTTTAGTGGAGTCCAACATACACAAAGATGGATGATCAAATAAACAACAATACAAACAACAGTGGTATAGCTTAAGTAGAGTTAACAATCTTACCATCTAGAAAGCAATGAATAAAAAGAAGAGTTAAGATCTAATCTGCTTGAAAACAGAATCTTCATGAGTGTTCTGGGGCCCCATTGTATGGAAATTTAAAAAAAAAAACCACTGCCCTTTAACAAGCATGTCATAGAAAGTGATTGACTAGGAGTTCGCTGAAGTTGGATGTTACAGGCCAAAAGGCACAAATATTTACAGCCTAGCTGTAAACCACAATGCAGCATGCCAACCGTCTTTTGGGGGGGCGACTGTAGAAGAAGATGGAAACAAAAAATACAGACGATATCTTTTTAGTTATATTTACTTACGTGTCCCTACTGAAATCTTTCTTAGATCCTCCATAGTACAGAAGATAGCTATTTATAAAATGTTTGTGACGAGAATACTATAGGTGTTAAGGTCTATCTAACTAGTAAAACATGATTAGGGTTATAATTAAGTATAAGTTATAAACAGAACAGCCTGTTTAACTGGTCATAACAAAGTTATAAACAGAACAGTCTGTATAACTGGTCATAACAAGGTTATAAACAGAACAGTCTGTATAACTGGTCATAACAAGGTTATAAACAGAATAGTCTGTATAACTGGTCATAACAAGGTTATAAACAGAACAGTCTATACAAATAGTTATAACAAATTTATAAACAGAACAGTCTGGTTGAAGATGTGGCCTATGCAGTTCCACACCGGAAGAGGCAGGTTCTGAACTCTCCTTGATGTCATTTACATTCAATGATTTGTGTACAGAGTCTTCATTTGTACAGTGAAACAATAATGACATCCATACAAGATGTGCAAGGAATATAGATTTGGCGGGTATAATGTAAACAATCTGCGATAGCTAATGAAGAGACAACAGGTCAAGTGATTTGGACATGCATCAAGACTACCACCAGACAGTGCACCACAGAAAGCCCTGTCATTCAGACATAATGGAAGCAGAACCAAAGGCAAATTATAAATTGAGTTGCATGCTTCACTGCAGAGGAAACGCGGTGTGTTGGGAAATGAACAGGCAGACAGACTGGCTGGTTCTGCACAACTTGGTGGAATACTGATGCATGATAGGGCAGACGTGGTTAGTGCCTTGTGGAAGAGTGTGTACAGTTCAGAGGAGCAGATGGATCACCACAGTCTGGTGGGATTGATGCAGTGGGGAGTGACAAGAGGTTTTGGCAGATGCTTGAGGTTCAGAGGAAAGGCAAGATGGACGTTTAATCAGAATGCTACTGGCACCATTAGTATCAGAACTCTTCACTGGCTGCTGATGATGTGGACGGAGCGCTAATGGGAATGCCCCGAGTGCTGTGATGTTGATTCTTGAATCAACTCAACTCAACCAGAGGTGGAGAACGCAAACAATGGATAGATGGAATATCTGAGGGTGTAAATACAAGCACCTACGTAGCATGGCTCTCACACAATACCTCTTCAAAATCTGACGCTCAAAGGCAATAAAGGACTAGAGGAGGAGGTAGCTAATGATATAGTTTGCATCACATACACATACTGTGTGCCAATTTACTTCTGGCACATAACATACTCTTGTCACTGAATACATTTAAAAAAAAAAAATAAACAGTCATAGTTAAAGACAGATATTTTCCAGTTATCATGACAGCATCAAGGATACAGCATCAAGTGCTACAGCATGGAATCTGTGAACTTTGCCCTCCTCTCTGAAACAGATATAAAACCAATTTTAATTTTCGTTAAAATAAATTGTTGTGCTGTTGGCCTACTGTAGATGTCAAGGCTGAACTGTGTAGTTTTTCTACATGACACATGTATTGTTCTCAATCCTAATTCTCTCTCTCTCTCTCTCTTTTCCCCTAGCACTACCTCCTTATCCACTTCTCTATTTCTATCATTTCCCTTACCTCTTTTTCATTTCTCTCCCCCCAACCAAAATGCAGATGAATTGTTTATTAATACTTCAAGATACCTACTAAATCGGCGAAAACATTACCCCCCCCCCCCCTCCCACAGCCTTAAAACTGTTGATAACAACGCAACAAGAAAGTTAGAGGTGATCCCACTGCGTATTTTTTCGGTGGCATGGCAAGTGTCAACCTTAACATGTTCTAGGATAAGGCATAAGGTGATCTGACCAGTTTCCTTCACTGACATCTTTCCATAAATTATTATTTAAATGATACCCACCATGTCAACACACTCAGTTAATTGACCAATTACCCTCATGGCACTTCAGACAAGTCCATAAGCACTCAGATCCCATCTTCAGTATGTCCTTCAGCATATGGCAACCAATAACACCAGTTGTGTGTATGTTTACTACTCTTCTTTGGCTACCCGAAAAGTTTTCATGCTGGTAATACATCTTTTGACTTGAACTTATCGTAGCTTTCTTAATGTTGTGATTCCCCGTCGACTCCTGAATCATCTACTCGTCCTGCCACCTTGAGAGCACTGAAAACATCAGCCAGGCCCAATGGCAGCAAGCCAATACACTTGTTCATTCCCTCTCCTGTGTCTACATACTATGGAGTTGCAACCAATAACAAAGCTGTTAAATAGGCATCTTGTGTCCAACACAATCATTTACCTCTTCTCCCTGGCCTCAACATCAGTCTCACAAGCAGTCATAGCCTCTGTGGCATCCTTGGCCCCATTTTTGGGGATCCAACAAGCATGTTGTAAAAAGCGACTAGTTAAGATTTTTTTCCACTGAAGCCAGAAAAACTGGCTTTCTCTTGGTGAAAGGGTTAAATGAGTAATGTGAGCACCCAATTTCTTACCTAATAAGTTTTCATTGCAATGCAGAAAATTACAAAAATGATTTATTTCATGAGCTTGGACCAACCACAGAGCCACACAGCTTAGAAAACAGTTTCCACCAATGTTGAGGACCGAACTGGAAATATTGTCTTAGTAACAGATCACTGTGAGTTCTGATCCTCTATCATAGCTGACACATATATAATACATTTTTTGGCTTAATAGGACAATAAAACTTCAGAAAAGCATACAAAAGAAATTAATAACACACAAAAGAGATACCCTAATTAAGCTTACAAACCTGCCAAAAAATATGTGCTGCTGCTTACAAACACTTACTTGATTAGTTCTTCCTCTAACTGGCGCTTATTTGCAACTTTGTCCCTTTTCTTTTTTTCAGCAACTAAACCGTGGTATGTGTCCCTGATCAAAAACAAGTAAACAAAGTTTAAATCTTTTTTCTTGCAATATAAAAATGTTACGTGCTGTGCAACTCATTACTGCAAGCAGAGGGATAGTCAGAGGTGCTTCCAGGCATGGTCCCAAATTTAAAGTAGGAGGCAGAGATACACAAATTTTTTAATTTGTTATATGCCTATCCTCTTCAAGATCCAAATCAAAAACCATGGCAGAACTTGTCACCTATTTTTATTTTTTTATTTTGCGTTCATCCAAAGATGTCATTGACGTGTGCCCGTTTACAGAACGTTTGCGATATTTGCACCTTTCGGCCGACACATCCGACTTCTGCAAGCATTTGTTAACCGGGCTAGCCTACCCTGTTAGTTTCATGGGCTACTGCAGTCTCATTATTGTGTGGTCATCTTTGTTTCTCATGTCACAGGTTGTGCCCCTCATCAAGTGGTCCACAGAAGCCACGTAATGCTGGTCAACCATCAAAAGAATGCAGGCGCAGAACATGAGCAGTCCCTACCATCCAAGGAGGTTTCCATAAATGCAAAGCCAGTTCATGGTGCTTTGGTACTGGGCTCACCAAAGGAATTATCACACCCTGCTCATGGCTGTTTAACCTCACTTCTATATTTTAAAAATCTCATTCATCATGGGCTATGTCTTTAGAAACCAACAGTATGCAGCCTGCATACCTGGTATTTCAATTGCTAACATACTGAGTTAGCAGGCAGACTTGCTAAAAATGGAACAAAGGAGAAAAAACACACCCATCCTCCATCGTTACCAGAAATCAGGACTGCTACTGACATGCGAGTTCATAGAGGCAACCCACCTCATGGTCTGATCTGAGCATACGAAACCGAACGCAAAGAGTACTTTGCCTCTTTTGCTTGTTAGACTTTTACTGCAGTGGACTTCCGCATCCACTATAGTTTCAGATGACATCTGTGGTCTTAAAAGGCAATTTTATGTTTAATGATTTTCCATTGCTTTAAAATGGTACGATATTCAAACCGTTATTGGGTTATCCAAATCAACGTGTCTGCCACCAAACTGCCTGCATCTGACTTAAACCCTTGTATTTCAGGATTTCGCTGATTGTTCCGAAAGGGCCTTGACCACACTCATAAAACAGTAATCACCAGAGCCATACTTAGGATGCACGACATGTGAGGCTTGTTTTCTGGTGGTACACCAAGGTACGCAGTACTATCACCTTTTAAGGTATCCATTTTTTTTCAGTGTTATTGTAACAGGCACTCTGAGGTGAGAATCAGCACTTTTCTGACACTTTGTGGTGAGTACCGGCACCTTTTGCCCTAGAAAAACAGCCTTGTATACTCCTCTACACACTTGAGAGGAGCCATAGTAGTTAAATGACCAGCACACTAGTGTATGTTGGTCTGATAGTCCCAGGTTCAAGTCCCATGGTGGAAAAAAACAAGAAAATACCCACTGCCTCCCCAACAAGCATGTCCTAGGAGTAGACTAATTGGGGGCATCCTTTGAATTCAGAGAGGCAAGGAACCAAGAGTCTGCATACAAATAAGCCAGATGTGTGAAACAGATGTGCACTCAACACTCAGGTTCTGGAACCAGACTAAAATTGTGAAGAAAAAGAGGAAATCTCCAGAGGAAGATTTTTAAAACTAACCTTGATTCCCAGACCTACCAAACTTGAAAATTGGGTAGCAGGAAATGTTCTGGGAAGTAAAAATGATTGATGGATATTCATATATCAATCACAGGGTGACAACTCATGGGCTCTATTAAAAAAAAAATTAGCACTACATGCCTAAAAATGCTTCAAAACGTGGAAACCAACAAGCTAATTAACACAATCATTTACCTCCTCTCCCTGGCCTCAACATCTGACTCAAAAGCAGAGTCATAGCCCCTGTCCTTTGGTACCTGCGAGAAACATCACAAAACTTAATATAATTAATGACTACAACATAAAATCCACTTACCTGAGTTATTTACTTTTTCTGAGCGTTCATTAGCTTTATAAACTCTGGTGGAAAGTTCTGGTTGTTTGCCCACTTCTGGACTTTGTGGTCTTCTCCTAGAACAGGAATTTTGCATGCACATCCTTTTTAAATATCTGACTTATTTGTCTGCAGACTGCTGATTCCTCACCTTTCAGGCAGATGCACTCTGACTTCAAGGGAAACACATCTTTATTTAGTCATCTTTTACTAAATTTTTGTTGGAAGGGAAGGGGGAGCAGGGTCTCTTTTCAACACCCCGTCCCCACCCCAAATAGGGCCCCGGGATCCACGATGGAAACATGAGTTATGAGCAGGGCTATTCTTACGACACTCTGGATACCACCATAAGTGCTGAGATTTATATATCAGCATACTGCGGTTAATAGAGCCAGTCCTATACTGTATGACACAACTTCTCATGCTAAGAGCTATTTTTTCCATTGCTGGCACCTTTTTTGTGCATCATTTTATTTTCAGCGCTGCTGTTATAGACACTGTGGTGAGTACTGTCGCCTTTATTTGGAAACGTTATTGTTTGTACTGGCACATTTCTTATAGCAAAAAAAAAACTATTCATATGTCTGGTGTGCATCTCCTGCCTAGCTGTGCTTTTCTTCCAATTCTCCCATTAAACAACTTATCTGACCTCTACTTCTTATTCTCTCGTCAACCCTGTATTCCAAAAAGACTAAATCTATTCACTTCCATTTGTGACACAGTCTCCTAAATGCTGATATATTATCTTGTCTGCAGTGGCCTGTTCTCAAAATGCGTAAATTCTACTGGTTCAATGCGAGCCTGTGTAGCGTGTAATGGCCAAGATATACTTAAATACTTAGTATCTCCTCTTTTACCTCAGGGTGTAGATGTTTGCCAAAGAGATTGCCAGACTTCTCTGTCAGCAGTTTTCTTTCTGACTTTGTTCCATTTGAATCCTCTTTAAGTCAAGGACTGTTGGATGTTGTCTTTCCAGCAAAACCTTGGTCATCCTGGTGGTCTGGTTCTTGGCCTCCCATGGTGGCCGCTTCTCTCCAATTTCATGTCCGAACCACCATTACTGTGACTGACTAACTCAAGTTTATAAGGCCTAGGTTTCAAAATCGTAACATATTCTCTAACTGCAAACTTTGTTCCTTCTTGTCATCTGACCACTTTTCTCAGACATGTCATATTTGAAGCCTGAAGCTGGCTTCTGTGAGGTGTTGTCATTGCCTAGATTATGAATAAAAAGGTTGTTGCGTATGCTTTTCAGGACGTTGCAGAACCAACCCCAACAGCCCCTGGCTGGTGTATGGTTTCTCTAGGCAAATTCAGGTCCAGTAGTTTGCCATTGCTTTCTAGACCGTCGGCTTTCTTGATACCACTGTCGAAACCAACGCAAGGCGCATGGCCCGCAGCTGGCATTACCAACTCATTACCAACTCATTACGAAGCGTTCGCATCGACTTAGCCACAGAGCCGACAGATTATGAATATAGAAACTGAAAATATAATTTTTGACTCCAGGGGCTTTTTAAGCCAGGCTAGCGTCCAATTTTCTCTTTAACTTTTTTTTAAACGGCACCTGGAAATGTATTGTATTTAACGTTTTCCTATGTTCATGTTTACTGATTATTCCCTTACATATCTTTTAATATGAAAATGATAGGGGAGGGGAGATAATCTAAACATGCAGATAAATAATGTTTAAAAAGTGTATTAATAACCTGTTTCAAAAGGGTCATTTTTGTAAAGGATTTTTTCTGGGAATTTCCATAGGTTCATTGCCCATTTTTTTTTTCAGCATTCATGAGGTGAAAGGTTAAAAAACTTACCTAAGGTACAAAAACATCTTACCATAAATATCAGTGGGGGAGAGGTTGGAGGTGTCACATGATGAGAAGGGGGAAAATTAAATACTTTGAAACAATTTCAAAAATTTGCAGAAAGAAAGAGGATTTAATAATTGATGCAAAAGTGTCACGAATGAGCTTAAGTATACTTACTTTACTATGCTAGCTAAGGTTTACCTATGAATAAATGCCAACAGTACATCACACCCTAAGTGTGTACTTATTAGCTGAAAAAGTACCAGTTGTACTAAGTACTATGTGGGAGCAGTCATACTCATAGATGTTCATGATAGCTAGCCAAAAAATAAAAAGAAGGTATATATATATATAACGGCTCTACTTTGAACGGCACCTTAAAATCGCAGCCGTAATATTCTGGCCATAAAATATCCAAAAATATCCGAACCGTGTTCAGGCGTATCAAAAATACGGACTTTCTGCCAAGGGACAAATCGCGGCAAAACTAGCATCACTTGACAATCAATATCAACATTGCACACGGTAGTAGCAGACGATAAATACCGACCGTTGACAATTTTGAGCGTATCTGCAGACGACGATACTAGCAGACGATATTAGCGACCGTTGACCAATTTCGAGACATTACAGACGATGAAAGCCAATTAGTAATACTGTGTTCTTCCGATGGGAGGATTTAGCAGCGGTAGATGTCAGACTTGTCGGCATGCGCCAAACGCGATTAAACTCATCGCCGAGCGTATCCCCCACGCCGTTACATGCGGCACGGATGAGGGGGCTAAACTAGGTGCCTGGGACTCACGATTAAAGTAACTGGAGGAAGTTGCAGGAGATGCGGTAGCTGCTGCTCGTGAGTCCCAGCCATCTAGTTTAGTCCCCATCCGCGCCACGCGTAGCGGCGCAGGGGATATGGTCGGCGGTGAGGCACACTCGCAGAAGCAGGTCCACAAGTAACATATCGCCGAGACCCTGTTAGAACATTTGTTTCGTTATACGGAGCCGGCACATATATTTTTAATAGAACTTGAGCCGCATTTTGATATTTTATGGCCAGAATGTGGCCAATTAAGCTCTCTTTCGAACGGCATCATATTAAGGCCGCCATTTTAAGGCGCCGTTCAAAGTAGAGCCTATATAATAGCTAATATTTACCTTTGGGGACGAATGCCAGAGGCCTAAAAAGGTGCATACATCGCACCCTAACTATAAACTTTTACCCAATACAGCGTCACGAGTTGCCTCAACCGCCCTGGTGGCGAATGTAGAAGTTAAAAGCAGCAGCAAGTTTTAGAAGGAGACGAAGAGTAAAGGAGTGGGTGAAGAAAAGATAATCAATCAATCAATATCATTTTAATAATTTTATTTTTATCAATAATAAATATCAATAATCATTTAAAAGAAGAAGGCACTTTATTACTTCTGAAAAGTCTATTTTGTCCACCATTTCGAATCCTTGTAAGAATGTACGTTATATTTATTACTAATTCCTTCAATGTATCAACAATATTCAATAGCAATCTGAACTGCTACTTTACTTCTCACATCGTTTTGGCAATTAAAAAAAAAAACTCAGTGCTTCAAAACACAAGGGTGTTTACTCTAGTTCGTTCTTCTTTACATATTTTTACTACATCCTATTTATGTCCCTTGTAGATTCAGGTTTATCATCATCTTCATTATAAACCACTTCTGTCAGTGAGCGACGTTGGGAGAACTAATTTGCGATCCAGTGCACGCTGGTTGTCACTGGCTATGAAGGATAGAGTGTCTTCAACGTTGTCGATCTATTTATCACAGCCGTCCTCTTCGTCTCGTAGCTGATCTTCTGAGATGTAGGACCTGTAATGGTATTTGATATTGCGACGTTTAACGAAATGACCAAACTACTTGATCTGCTGTGTATCGATGAATCTAGTACAAGGTCTTAGTCCCACAACATGTTCAACAGTTTCATTGTTTACGCGAATCTGTTAATGAAAAGATAACAATTGACACGAAAAGTAGAACCGGTCAGCTTTACGTTAACACAAACATAATGAAGTAGAAGAACTGTCCGCTGGGATTTACAGCTGGTGAACGCTAACAAGAAGAAGAACCCGTCTACTCTTTGGCAGTCGGTCGTTCATTTTGCAGTGAAAAATAAAAAAGGAAGGAATTTCAGAGTAGACTCCTGTGTGTGTGTGAGGGCGTTTGTGTGCGTGCGGGTATGTGGATGTGTGTGTGGATATTTGTGCGTGTTTGTGTATGGATATATATATATATATATATATATATATATATATATATATATATATATATATATATATATATATATATATATATATATATATATATATATATATATATATATATATATGTGTGTGTGTGTGTGTGTGGGTGTGTTTCAACACCTAGTGTTCATTGTCTAGAACGTTGTGAAAAGTAAAAATTAAAAGAGTGCTATTGACCGTTGTTGATGCAGTGAATGATACATGACAAATTTTTGGGTGGTTATGAGTTGAGAACTGACCAGTGACGGCTCGTGTATAGGAACTTCTGAACTGCAGTACCCGTTACTTTGACTTGATTTCATCGACAACATCCAATATAATAAGCATGTTTTTTTTTTTCCGTTATTTCTTTCTGAAGCTGCATATAGAGGTTTGAGGTTTGAACAAAGGATCAACATCATGGCACACGGGTAGTAACTCATAAGTGCTCAGTTCTTCTTCTAACTCAAGTCTGAGCACTGGCAAGGATCCTGAAATACTTTGGGGAGATTTAACTCAAAATTTCACCCGCAACAATGAACAAGGGCGTCTGATGTCACTACCCAGAGACCGGGGGGGAATTACTAAAAAAAATCCCAACCCTAACCGGGGATTGAATCCGGTTCCTCTAACACTAGAGGCGGACACCCTGCCGCGAGCCCGCAGCCCCCTAAGCTGCACATAAGGTACTGAAAGCGCTGTCGCAAACGCAGTGCTGTCTCCTTGTTAATAATCTTTACGTGCGAAGTACAGTCAGAATGATGAATTTTGTTTTAAATGAATGAATCAAACTTGAACCGTAACATTGTAGGATATTGGTCAATACACATAATTGCGTGTTTAACATACATAACATAACCCTTGACCCGTTATGGACGTGGAGGTGTATTTATGGAAGCACTATCACATGAAACTCGCTATCTTTCTCTGTCTTCTGCTGGACGAAAAACTGTAAGATAATTCTATCCATTTCTTGATGTTGTCATTCCAGTTTCTTCTTTGCTCTCATTTTCTTCGAATACCTACCCCCCCCCCCCCCCCCCCCCCCCCCCCGAGTGTTCCTTGAAGTACATACAGTCTTTGCAATCGAATCATGTCTCATCACGTGCCCAAACCAAGCTAGCTTGCGACTTTTCCCCTCTGTCAAGAGAGTTTCCTGATGTCCCGCAAATTTGTATATTTTGTCTCTGACATATTTATTAGTTTTGCGTTCTAAATAACTAATTCGTAAAATGCGTCTGTAGCATTTACATTCGAAAGCCTGAATCGTCCTTTCAATTTCCACAGTGAGAGTCCAACTCTCACATCCGTACAAGAAAATAGAACATACCAGTGAAATGTTAATATTGACCTTTTACTGCGCTGCTGATTTTGCTCTTAACATTGTATTCAGCTGCGATATCGCGGCTGTTGCCATATCAAGTCTTGTCTTGATCTCTTTGGTACAGCTGCCATCGTTGAATGTGTGGGAGCCAGTATATTTAAAGGTTTCAACTTCTAGTTTTTTTTTCTTCCCCGTTTTATCTGCATGTTGGTAGGTACTTGATTATTGTGACTGTTTACCAGAATCTTGCTTTTCTCGGCATTAATTACCATGCCATATTTACGACAGGAAGTCGCCGTGGCGAAGCGGCTAGACGATCGCCGCAGAGCGGAAGGTCGTGGGTTCGCTCCCTGACGGAGCCGGACTTTTGTCAAAAATGACCTTGGCTTCCAGCCTTGAATGGGTACCGGGTGCAGTCCTGTGAAGTAAAGGCTGTCGGCATGATGCTGCCCACATCACCCATCTTGAGCCAATTGGTCCAAAAAAATAGGTCTAGCCCTATATGCCTACAGGTGTGGAAAAGTGCCCTTTACTTACGTCACTTCACATATTTACGACATACTGTCTCTAATTTTGATGTAGTCCCGCAACCCACACAAGAATCAGTAGACTCAAATGAGGAATTCTTAGACTCATAAAACTGAATACTAAAAATGATGGAGTTTCGGTGACGTTACCATCACAATGTGCCATGCTGATAAAGGTACGAGATCATGGTTCGCCATGGCCGCTAGAACCTGGTAGCTCTGGCAACTTGACCCATTCCCACACACCATCTCCCCCCCCCCCCCCCGCTTGGGGTGCTGAGCCCCAAAAGTTTTTAAGGATGGTATTTAAAATGTATCATTATATTTATTTACCACTAGCTGTACCTGGCCACGCGTTGCTGTCGCCCAGAATGGTGAAATGAGCGAAAAGAAAATAGCTCTCAGCTAACAGTGTCTGTCATATTCCCCCCCCCCCCCCCCCCCCCCCCCCCCCCCCCCCCCCGTAATCATATCATCCTCTCCAAAGGATGGGAAAGTCTCCATGTGACGAAATAGTGTAACTAAATTGAGCTTGGCATCCGTGTCCACCCAGACTTAAATATGTAGCATTAATTTGTACTGAGAAGTAAATGTGGCCAGTGTAACAGCTACCAAATCACCCATCCAGTACCAGTACTACTGCAACCACTACCACTACAACCATCACAATAACAACAACAACAACCAAAACTGTCACTAAAGTCTGTTTAGGTTGGTGTAGGAAAGAGGAGTTAGCGCTGCATGCTGTTGCCACAGACTATTTAGTTTAATTTTGCCCACGACACATTTAAAAAAAACTTTATCAAGTAACCAGTGATGAAACCCACAGTAAAATGTACACTCTACTCACAAATAGCAGAGAAAAATCCCCCGCACCCGTCATCTCTCCCTCTCTGAAGGAACGATGTTTAACTGACCTTGGTATTCGTGTCCACCCAAACTAAACTGGACTGTAAGCCGTCTTAGTTAACAGTTTCTGTCATCGCCGAATAGTTTTTGATCGAGAAGCGTCGTGGGGAGGCTAATTAGGACTTAACTGAAATCGGATGTCGTTGGGCGAAATGCGCAAATATCACAGCCTAGCTGTAAACCACAACGTGGCAACCACCCTTTTAAGGGAAAAAGAACAATTATCACCCAGCGGGAAACCGAACACGGTCATCCGCGTGAAGGATGGAATACTTACAACTATACTACCGAAGACTGAAGAGTGTAGGTCAGATATCGCAGCCTAGCTGTAAACCACAACACATTGTGCCAACGGCCCTCTCGAGGGCGAACAAAGATTACCCATGACATGACCACTAAGCATCACGTCGCCGCTGTCGCAGGCTAGCTGTAAACCCCAAAACCAAAAAAGGCGTAGATATCGCAGCCTAGCCATAAACCACAACACAACGTGCCAGCCGCCCAGTTAAGGGCTAAAAAAAATTATATCACCTAGCTGGGAATCGAACGCAGGTCACCCGCATAATTGACAGAATAGCTACCAACTACGCTACCAAACACTCAAGCAGATAGTGGAAATGAAATTATATAATAATGCAAAGTTAATAAGAGCTCAGTAGTCAAATATGGCCAATTAACTAAAAACAAATCCGGGCTGGCAACGAAACAAATAATGATTTGACCGTTGCTGGAGCTATGTCGTTCGTGGTTTGTGCGATTTTCTGACAAAAAGTCACGCTTGGAGTCAAAGGCAACGTTGTGTGCAAATTTGAAAGCAATCGGTTCAGTAGTTTCCGAGTTTTTAGCTAACAACATCAGAAAATTTACGTTTTTATTAATATAGATTCAGCACAGTACTATTATTATGCCCTTAAATTAGAATTTATATTTACCACTTTTTGCGGTTAAGCGGGGGAAACGGTGTTTATGGGAGGGGGTGGCTTTGAGCCTGCAGATTTTGGACCGTATGCTTAGTGCTGTTGCTAAGGGCTGCGCAGGTTAGAATGTAATTTTTGCCCCAACAGAAAACAAAATCCTCCAGGCTACCAACGATTTGAATCCACGTCTTCATCTAGATGCCTTCACCTATCTTTTTTTTTTCAGTTCATCCTCTGACAGTCAAGGACAGCATGGACTACCATGGTGCCACTCGTTCTGTGTGCCTTAATTGTAGCTTAAGATGTTAAACTGGCTATCTTCAATACGTCCCTTTAGGTTGGCATCCAGGGTGCATCTCTAAGGGTCAGGGGTATGTTTCAAATCTTTAGGTGACAGCCTGGAGGAGAAAAACGGTCTTGCATTTATTCCAACAAGCTTGTGAACCGTCGTCTGTGGTTTGGGGCGTTACAAAAGTGGTTCACAGCTCTAAAATATCCCATTCGATAAATCTGAAGGC